GTAATGATATTAACAGATCACTGGACAGCTGAAAATATATCGAGTATGTTCTGTCAGTGTTATTAGCAAGAAAAGGTATACATTACTTTAAAACCTTAAGACAGATGTGATATTACCCACACCATCGTTATCATGCGTTCTATCTACTCCGTATGAAATGGCATACCTTGCTGATAACGTTTTCAGTTACACGTACTTTCCTTTCTATCGGCTGGACACAACCGCGTATCTTCCAAAGCTATAATCAAGTATATATTTGGAGAAGGATCTCGCGAAGGAAAGGCAGGTTTCTATATAATAATTTCTTCATAAATAATACACTATGGAATATAAAGTAACCTATACACACTATATACAATTAAATAACATGTGAAAAATCAGGCGTAGTAAAACGGGTCCGGAGCCACGTAAACAGGAGCTTCGTCAACGGGCAGCATGGAAATGGGCGCCTTCGGGATGGGGGCTGTTGGAATGGGAGCCACGTAAATGGGAGCCAGATGGACGGGCGCGCCTTGAGGGGGAATGTTTCTCACTGAAACGTCCATGTTGTTTACTCGACTGTCTTCGGAAGGTGATTCTGAACACAACTGAGCAAAATGATATTGCTTCGGCCATAAATACTCGTTAGTCACGGGCATTGGGGAAGGTTCCTCATGGTCTGGTGGAACGGAGGCAAGACTGCGGGTGTGGGAATAGGGATTGTTGTTCAATCTAAAAAAAAAAAAAAAAACGATGTCACAGTTAGATTTTGTGTACTTTTGTCATAAACATATATATGTGTATATATATGTATATATATAATATATATGATAATGTATACATACGATAACATATTATTATGATTCTATATATATATGATTCTTTATATAAATATATATATGATTCTTTATATAAATATATATATGATGTTTATATATGAAACATACATACACATATATATGTATATATGTATATATGATGCACATGTGTCTGTATAGATAAAATATTCATGATATATAGGTATATATGTACATATACACAATATAAATGACGTATTCTTATATCTACATATATATACATATATACATATATATATATATGCATATATATATACACATAAATACATATATATATAAATGTATATATATTATGTTGAAAATATATATGTATATGTGTAAATATATACAAATATATGTATGTGAGCGTCTTTCCGTGAACGGAAGCACTGGAAACATGCCAGTGCTCCCTAAGATAGAACCTGCCTGAACAAAGCATTATCTGGCTATTGGGTCTTGCTTCAAGTGAACTAAACAATTCCACGATTGTGTAAAGGAAATTGTACTCACCGCATATTTGAGACTACAAGAAAATGCGTACCTTGGAAATGACATTTTCATATACAAGCGGCAGTGGATTTATATACATAGAAAAAATAATAAAAAAAAATCAGGAGCCACGTACACCAATGGGCAGCACTGAAATCAGCCCCTACTGTATAAAGTAGGAATGGGAGCCACGCAGATTACTGCTAAACATGTAAATCAGTGGAAGGGATACTGCCGGGGGACACTTCACGTCTCCCTTTCCCAAATACAGGTGTTCATTTCCATATTTTATTAGTCTGTACGACTAACTAAACATAATGACAGAAAATTTGTTAAACAGAAACCAGCCACTAAAAGGCTGTAAGGATATTAACAGTATGCTAAAGATCACTGGACAGTTGAAAAACAGAATATATCGAGTATGTTTTGTCAGTGTTATTAGCAAGAAAAGTTATGCATTACTATATCTAAAACCTTAAAACAGGTGTAATATTACCTACACAATCGTTACCTTGTGTTCAGTTACACGTACTTTCCTTTCTAACGTCCATCGCTTGGACAAAACCGCGTATCTTCCCAAGCTATAATCAAGTATCATGATGTTCTTTTTGGAGAAGGATATTCCGAAGGAAAGGCAGGTTTCTATATAATCATTTCTTCATAAATAATACACTATGGAATATAAAGTAACCTATACACACTATATACAAGTAAATAACATGTGAAAAATCACGCGTAGTAAAACGGGTCGGGAGCCACGTAAACAGGAGCTTCGTCAACGGGCAGCATGGAAATGGGCGCCTTCGGGATGGGGGCTGTTGGAATGGGAGCCACGTAAATGGGAGCCAGATGGACGGGCGCGCCTTGAGGGGGAATGTTTCTCACTGAAACGTCCATGTTGTTTACTCGACTGTCTTCGGAAGGTGATTCTGAACACGACTGAGCAAAATGATATTGTCTCGGCCATAAATACTCGTTAGTCACGGGCATTCGGGAAGATTCCCCATGACTGCTGATGTGGGAATAGGGATAAATATTCTAAAACAAAAAAAGTCACAGAGTACTTTAGTCATGAATGTATGATAATGTATATGTGATTATATATATGCATATATGTATATCATATATCATGTAATATATATATGATTACATATGATATATATATATATATATGTTAATATGTATATATTGATACATATATATATATATATATATATATATTATATATATATATATATATGTTACATATGTATATATATGATTACATATATATATATATGATATATATATATATATATGATTATATATATATATATGATTACAATATATAAATATATGATTACATATATGATTACATATATGATTACATATATATACATATATATGATTACATATATGATTACATATTACATATATGACATATATGATTACATATATGATTACATATATGATTACATATATATATACATATATGATATATATGATTATGTATATAATGTAAATGTACGTTTATGTATGTGTATATGTATGGGTATATGTATATACCCATACATATGTATATATATGAAAATATGTCTATTTACATATATACATATGTGTATATGAATTTATGTATAAATGCATGTGTATACATGTGTATGTATACACACACATATGTATGTATACACCTGTGTGTATACATATGTATATACAAGTGTATATACATGTGTATATACATATATACATATATATGTATACACCTGTGTGTATACATATGTATATACAAGTGTATATACATGTGTATATACATGTGTATATACATATATATGTATACACCTGTGTGTATACATATGTATATACAAGTGTATATACATGTGTATATACATATATATATATACATGTGTGTATACATATGTATATACATGTGTATATAAATATACATATATACATGTGTATATACATATGTATATACATGTGTATATAATATACATATATAAATGTGTATATACATATGTATATACATGTGTGTATACATATGTATATACATGTGTATATAAATATACATATACATGTGTATATAAATATACATATATACATGTGTATATACATATGTATATACATGTGTGTATACATATGTTTATACATGTGTATATATATACGTGTGTATACATATATATACATGTGTGTATACATATATATACATGTGTGTATACATATATATACATGTTATACATATATATACATGTGTGTATACATATATATACATGTGTGTATACATATATATGCATGTGTGTATACATATATATACATGTGTGTATACATATATATACATGTGTGTATACATATATATACATGTGTGTATACATAACATGTGTGTATACATATATATGCATGTGTGTATACATATGTGTGTATACAATATATATGTAATACATATATATACATGTGTGTATACATATATATATACATTGTGTGTAAACATATGTATATACAATATATACATGTGTATATACATATATACATATGTATGTACATGTGTATATACATATGTATGTACATGTGTATATATATATTTATATATATATATATATATATATATGTATGTGTGTGTGTGTGTGTGTGTGTGTGTGTGTGTGTGTGTGTGTGTCTGTGTGTGTGTGTGTATACATATGTATATACATGTGTATATATATATGTATATATATATATATAAAGTGTGTGTGTGTGTGTACATATGTATATACATGTGTATATACATGTGTATATACATTGTGTTATACATATGTATATACATGTGTATATACATGTGTGTATACATATGTATATACATGTGTATATACATGTGTGTATACATATGTATATACATATATATATACATATATATACATGTGTGTATACATGTGTATATACGTGTATATATATAAATATATATATATATATATATATATATATATATATATATATATATATATATATATATATATGTATACATGTGAAACATGCCCATGCTCCCTGAAGTTGAACCTGCAAATGCGTGTCAATAGCTGGCTATTAGTTCTTGTTTCAAAGGAATTTTAAAATAAAGTAAAATTGTACTCATGCATATCTTGGAAATAACATTTCCATAAGCAAAGGTCAATGGATTTATATGGATGTGGAAATTAATAAGAATAATAAATGCAATAAAATCGTGCAAAGGAAACGGATCAAGAACATGTGGATACAGATGTTCATTTCCATACGTGATTAGTGTTTTGACGAGATTAGTTTCTGTGAGATTAACGAGGCATAATGACAACGATTTTGTTGAGCAGAAACCAGCCACTATCAAGTCTGTATAATTATTGACAGTATACGAAACAAGACTACCCGACAGTCATTGTTATTAGCGGGATAGGTCATATATTAACTCCATAACTTTAAAACAAGTGTGATGTTACCTGTACTATTGTTATTTGCGTTTTATCTACTCCGTATGAAACGACGTATCTTGCTGTTATGAGCGTACTTTGCTTTCTAACTATCGTCTCCATCACCTGGACAAAACCACGTGTTTTCCTGAGCTATAATCAAGTATCATGATGTTTTATTGGCTAACATATTTGGAGAAGGATCTCACGAAGAAAAGACAGGTTTCTATAAACTAATTTCTTCATAAATAATACTATAAAATAACCTATACACACTATATACAAGTAAATAACAACATGTGAAGAATCACGCGTAGTAAAACAGGTCAGGAGCCACGTAAACAGGAGCTTCGTCAACGGGCAGCATGGAAATGGGCGCCTTCGGGATGGGGGCTGTTGGAATGGGAGCCACGTAAATGGGAGCCAGATGGACGGGCGCGCCTTGAGGGGGAATGTTTCTCACTGAAACGTCCATGTTGTTTACTCGACTGTCTTCGGAAGGTGATTCTGAACACAACTGAGCAAAGTGATATTGCTTCGGCCATAAATACTCGATAGTCACGGGCATTCGGGAAGGTTCTTCATGGTCTGGTGGAACGGAGGCAAGACTGCGGGTGTGGGAATAGGGATTGATGTTCAATCTAAGGAAAAAACGATATTATGTCAATTAGATTTTGTGTGCTTTTGTCATAAACATATATATGTGTATATATATGTATATATACATATATATAATAGTGTATGCATATGATCACATATATATATATTATATATAATATATATATACCTTTATATGTATATTTATATAAGACACAAATATTCATGATATATATGTATATATATACACAAAATATAAATAACGTATTTTTCATATTTACATATATAGAGATATCATATATATAAATATATGTATGCATATATTATATACACATAATATAGATATGTATATATATAAATATAACTATATGTGTGTGTACACATGTGTATGTATGTATACATAGATATAAACATGTGTGTATATATATGTACATGTGTAAATATATATAAATATGTGTATGTGTGCGTCTTTCCGTGAACGGAAGCCCCGGAAAAATGCCCCTAAGCTGGAACCTGCCTGAACAAAGCATTAGCTGGCTATTGGGTTTGCTTCAAGTGAACTAAATAATTCCACGATTGCGTTAAGTAAAATTGTACACACCGTATATTTGAGACTACAAGAAAATGCGTACCTTGGAATTTTTTTTCATATTCAAGGGTCAGTGAATTTATATACATAGAAAAAAAATAAAATTAAATCGCGCTAAAGAAGTGGATCAGGAGCCACGTACACCAATGGGTAGTATTGAAATCAGCCCCTTCAGTATAAAGTAGGAATGGGAGCCACGCAGATTACTGCTAAATATGTAAATACGCCTCACGTCTCCCTTTTCCAAATACAAGTGTTTATTTCCACATCTGATTAGTGTTTTGATGAAATAAATTTCTGTAAAAATAGCGAGGCTTAATGACAGAGAGTTTGTTAAATAGAAACCAGCCATTAAAAAGCCTGTTGTGATAGCAGTATAATAAAGATCACTGGACAGCTGAAAAAATTGAATATATCGAGTATGTTCTGTCAGTGTTATTAGCAAGAAAAGGTATACATTACTTTATCTAAAACCTTGACAGATGTGATATTACCCACACCATCGTTATCATGCGTTCTATCTACTCCGTATGAAATGGCATACCTTGCTGATAACGTTTTCAGTTACACGTACTTTCCTTTCGATCGTTTCCACCGCCTGGACAATGCCGCGCATCTTCCCAAGCTATAATCAAGTATCATGATGTTCTATTTGGAGAAGGATCTCGTGAAGGAAAGGCAGGTTTCTATATAATCATTTCTTCATAAATAATACACTATGGAATATAAAGTAACCTATACACACTATATACAACAAGTAAATAACACGTGAAAAATCACGCGTAGTAAAACGGGTCATGAGCTTCGTCAACGGGCAGCATGGAAATGGGCGCCTTCGGGATGGGGGCTGTTGGAATGGGAGCCACGTAAATGGGAGCCAGATGGACGGGCGCGCCTTGAGGGGGAATGTTTCTCACTGAAACGTCCATGTTGTTTACTCGACTGTCTTCGGAAGGTGATTCTGAACACAACTGAGCAAAATGATATTGTCTCGGCCATAAATACTCGTTAGTCACGGGCATTCGGGAAGGTTCCTCATGGTCTGGTGGAACGGAGGCAAGACTGCGGGTGTGGGAATAGGGATTGATGTTCAGTCTAAGAAAAAAAAAACGATATTATGTCACAGTTAGATTTGTGTGCTTTTGTCATATACATATATGTGTGTGAATATGTGTATATATACATATATATGCTAATGTATACATATGATAGCATATATATATGATTCTATATATATGAATATACATATATGTATATTTATAAATGAGACGCATATATATATGTGTATGTATATATGATACACGTGTGTATATATATATAAAATATTCATGATATATGTATTTATATATACAAAATATAAATGACGGATTCTTCTATTTACATATATGTAGGTATATGCATAGATGTTTATATAAACACACACACGCACACACACACACACACACACACACACACACACACACACACACACATATACATACATATATATATATATATATATATATATATATATATATATATGACATGCATATATTATATACACATAATATACATATGCATATATAAATATGTGTGTGTACATATGTGTATATATGTATACATACATACACATATATAAAGGTGTATAAACATACAGATATGTGTATGTGTGCGTCTTTCCGTGAACGGAAGCCCTGGAAACATGCCCGTGCTCCCTAAGCTGGAACCCGCCTGAACAAAGCATTAGCTAGCTATTGGGTCCCGCTTCAAGTGAACTAAACAATTCCACGATTGCGGAAAGTAAATTGTACTCACCGCATATTTGAGACGACAAGAAAATGCGTATCTAGGAAATGACATTTTCTTATGCAAAGGGCAGTGAATTTATATACATAGAAAAATAAATTGCGCAAAGGATCAGGAGCCACGTTCACCAATGGGTAGCACTTACATCAGCCCCTACTGTATAAAGTAGGAATGGGAGTCACGCAGATTACTGCTAAACATGTAAATCAGTGGGAGGGATACTGCCGGGGGACGCTTCACGTCTCCCTTTCCCAAATACAGGTGTTCATTTCCATATTTGATTAGTGTTTTGACGAAATAAATTTCTGTAAGACTAACTAAACATAATGACAGAAAATTTGTTAAACAGAAACCAGCCACTAAAAGGCTGTAAGGATATTTATGCTAAAGATCACTGGACAGTTGAAAAACAGAATATATCGAGTATGTTTTGTCAGTGTTATTAGCAAGAAAAGTTATGCATTACTATATCTAAAACTTTAAAACAGGTGTGATATTACCCACACCATCCTTTACCTTGCGTTCAGTTACACGTATTTTCCTTTTTGACGTCCCCATCGCCTGGACAAAATCACGTATCTTCCCAAGCTATAATCAAGTATCATGATGTTCTTTTTGGAGAAGGATATTGCGAAGGAAAAGGCAGGTTTCTATATAATCATTTCTTCATAAATAACACACTATGGAATATAAAGTAACCTATACACACTATATACAAGTAAATAACATGTGAAAAATCACGCGTAGTAAAACGGGTCGGGAGCCACGTAAACAGGAGCTTCGTCAACGGGCAGCATGGAAATGGGCGCCTTCGGGATGGGGGCTGTTGGAATGGGAGCCACGTAAATGGGAGCCAGATGGACGGGCGCGCCTTGAGGGGGACTGTTTCTCACTGAAACGTCCATGTTGTTTACTCGACTGTCTTCGGAAGGTGATTCTGAACACAACTGAGCAAAATGATATTGTCTCGGCCATAAATACTCGTTAGTCACGGGCATTCGGAAGATTCCCCATGACTGCTGATGTGGGAATAGGATAAATATTCTAAAACAAAAAAAGTCACAGAGTACTTTAGTCATGAATGTATGATAATGTATATGTGATTATATATATGCATATATGTATATCATATATCATGTAATATATATATGATTACATATGTATATATTTATGATTACATATGTATATATATGATATATATATGATATATATATGATATATGATTACATATATGATACATATATGATTACATATATGATTTTATGATTACATATATGATTACATATATGATTACATATATGATTATATATATTACATATATGATATATATGATTATGTATATAATGTAAATGTACGTTTATGTATGTGTATATGTATGGGTATATGTATATACCCATACATATGTATATATATGGAAATATGTCTATTTACATATATACATATGTGTATATGAATTATGTATAAATACATGTGTACACATGTGTATGTATATATATATATATATGTATACACATGTGTGTATATATATGTATATACAAGTGTATAGACATGTGTATATATATATATATGTGTACACATGTGTGTATACATATGTATATACAAGTGTATAGAGATGTGTTTATATATATATATACATGTGTGTATATATATGTATATACATGTGTGTATACATATGTATATACATGTGTATATATATACATATATACATGTATATATATATATATATATATATATGTATATACATGTGTGTATACATATATATACAGTGATATATATACGTGTGTATACATATATATACATGTGTGTATACATATATATACATGTGTGTATACATATATATACATGTGTGTATACATATATATACATGTGTGTATACATATGTATATACATATATATACATGTGTATATACATATGTATATACATGTGTGTATATATATACATGTGTATATACATATATTTATATATATATATATATGTGTGTGTGTGTGTGTGTGTGTGTGTGTGTGTGTGTGTGTGTGTGTGTGTGTGTGTGTGTCTGTGTGTGTGTGTGTGTATACATATGTATATACATGTATATATATATGTAATATATATATAAGTGTGTGTGAGTGTGTGTACATATGTATATACATGTGTATATACATGTGTGTATACATATGTATATACATGTGTATATACATGTGTGTATACATATGTATATACATATATATATATATATACATATATATACATGTGTGTTATACATGTGTATATACATTATATATATATATATATATATATATATATATATATATATATATATTGTATATACATGTGAAACATGCCCAATGCTCCC